GCAAACTTTCTCCACGTATAAAGGGGAAAGGAAAAGGTATAGGCCGCCAAAAAAAAAAAAAAAAATCACTGCACTATGCAGAGTCCAGTAAACACCAGAGCACTTAAAGAGGGACAAGCCAGGGTTTGGGTCCAACATTGAAAAACTATCAGTAATGCATCAAAGACAAAAATAAAATAGTGGTTTTTACACGTTCCATGTTTAAGCAATGGATTAGCACTACAAATAAATAAGACACTTTACCTTGGCGTCTGCTCTGGAAGTGGGCATCGGAAGGGCTGCAGCTTGTGACTAAGGCTGAGAAGTGGTGGAAGGAAGGTTGTCTGAAATTAGAAAGTTTAGCACCAGATGTAGATGGGCTTGTCTCAGTACCGCCATGAGGATTAAGGAGGTGCAGTTTTCCGCATGGTTTTTCTTGCAGACAAAATCACCCCTTAAGCAAACACAAAATTCTTACGTTCAAATTGTTCTCTACATATTAATCATGTTGGAACAAATTTGCATTTTCAAAGCAACTGTTACAGTTGAACTACACCAGATAGTCTTCAAATTAAAGCTTTCTAAAACCAGTGGACCATAGGGTTTCAGAAACAAAATTCTAAGACGTTAAAAATTTGGCACATCTGTTGGTTATCATATGACTTGATCCATCATCTCACCCTCCCAGAGGGGAAATGGAAACAGCAATTTAGTTCATTTACATTGAGCTCCATGGCAAATGGTTATGTATTCTAAAGCGTACCAACTCTAGAAATCGTATAGTCATGGGAAATTGCTGTTCATTGCTGTTTAGTGGAACTTCCGAGGAACTGCACAGGACATACTGGTACACCGCAGTGCTTTCTGAGCTGGGAGCCCACACTTGCTTCTAAGTATTCCATTCACATCTTCCCAACCAGCAGCAGTTTATCGAGATTTTAAAGTGAAATATTTACTCCTCCACATGACTAGCGTTCCTGGTGTTTTCTGTGGGCTCAGTGAAATTGGAGCCACTACTGGCAACTGGACTTTGGGGAGAAAGTCATTTTCTGCATAAATTATGTTGAAAGGTAAACAAGGATGTCCACCGAGTCGACCTCAAACTGTTTGCTTCTTTTAAAAATCTCAGTTCTAAAGACAGTAAAGCAATAAGCAGACTGTAAAATTACAACGGGGAGAGTAGGGAGATCTGGGGGAGATAAGAGACCAACCGAAGTACTTGTATACATGCATATAAGTACAACCAATGTACACAAAACTCTGGGGAGGGAGGGCACGCGTGGGAGGGGGGAGCAATGTTAAAATATGTACACAGATAATTTAATAAAAAATAAATTTTAAAAATCACTACAAAAAAAAAATCTCAGTTCTTATTGAGTATTGCCTGACCTATGTGGCTCAAGTGGTTGATCGTTGACCTGTGAATTAGGTCACAGTTCGATTCCAGGTCAGGGCAAATGCCTGGTTTCAGGCTTGATTCCCAGGAGGGGTATGGTATCCAGGAGGTGGCCTATCAGTGATTCTCTCATCATCTCTTAAATATATTTTTTATTGATTTTAGAGAGGGATAGAAACATCAGTAAGTGGCAATCATTGATTGGCTGCCTCCTGCATGTCCCACACTGGGGATCGAACCTGCAACCCAGGCATGTGCCATTGATTGGAATCAAACGTGGGGCCCTTTCGTCTGCAGGCCAAAGTTCTATATCCACCAGCCAACCAGCTAGGGCAATGCTTTAAGTTTTAGAGGCAGAAGATGATGGTTCATTAGCCAGATTACACTGATTTGAGATTTTTTATTTACTTTTTTTTTGCCTATACATGTCCATAAACCACTCTTGAATATTAGAATATTTACTATTTAAGTATTAGTGACTAGGGACTTTTAAACTGTGGCCCACCAAATCCTCCTTAACCCAAGAGAAATTCCTCACTGCCCACCAGATGGCACTGTTCATCCGTGCTTATTAAAAGGACATGAGCCCATCTGAGATGAGACAAATCTGAAGAAACCTTTTATAAACAGCCATGCCACGTTGCTCCCACAGAGGTCTCCAAAACACTAAGATTATGACAAAAATATAATAAAGGTCACTTTGATCTTTACATATAAAGCCTACCGGTCTAGAATGATTCAATAACTAGCTATTATTACAATTCATGTCTTGACCCTGCAAATAAGTTATAATATATGGCAGACTGCCTCACACTAGTATTCATCTTTTAAAACAAAACTTGAATCTCAACTCCCCACAAATGAAAAGGGATATCGTCTTAGCTTATTTGTCTCAGTGGGTAGAGTTGAAGGGTCCTGGGTTCATTCTGGTTCAGGGCACATACCTTGATCAATTGGTTGATTCCCCACTAATCGATGCGTCACATCAACAAAAGTTTCTCTCTCTCCTCCTCCTCCTTCCCCCTTCCTTCCATTCTCTATAAAAAAGAAAAATCAGCCAGGACCGGTTTGGCTCAGTGTATAGAGCGTCCCTGCGGACTGAAAGGTCCCGGGTTCGATTCCGGTGGGGGGTGTGCAAGAGGCGGCTGATAGATGATTCTCTCTCATTGATGTTTCTAACTCCCTATCTCTCTCTTCCTCTCTGAAAAATCAATAAAATATATTTAAAAAAAAAAAAATCGGCCCTCGCTGATTTGGCCCTAGCCTGTGGACTTGAGGGGTTCCAGGTTTGATTTCGGCTAAGGGCACATACCTCCAGTAGGGGGCATGCAGGAGGCGGTCAATCAATGATTCTCATACCGATGTTTGGATCTCTCCCTCTCCCTTCCTCTCTGAAATTATATAAATATATATATATATATATATATGGAAGACTGTCAATGGAAAAATATCCTGGGGTGAGAATTAACAAAAAGGGATACAACAGAAAATGCACATTAGGTTTCTTACAGTTGAGAGTAAGGATGAACTCAACTTTTCCAAATGATCAGTAGCTGAGGAGAAACTTGAATGACCAGTTCCCTTGGCCACAGTAGGAAAACTAGACAATTGAGCTCCAGTGTAGCCCAGTAAAAACAGCACGGGACTGCTAGTAAGACCACCTTCCTGTTGGCTCTACTCCCAGTCTGGTATAAAACTTCACATAACTCTCTGGGACTAAATTTTTTTTCTTTGTAGAACAGGTCTTAAAGGCCCTAAAAATTACAACATCCAAAATACATTAAAACAAAGAGTACTAAGCAGAAAGATGATGTATTTAACATTTTTAACTGACTCACCTAGAGACAAAATATTTTCATTATTTCAATAACCTTGATAAAATGTGAACAGCTTTGAAGGGACTATTTGAAAATACCTTCTTCTGATTCCCTTTTCTCTTAAGCATGGTGTCAAGGAAATATGGATTACTATGTCACCACAGCGGCACAGCTCAGATGCTTACTACATTCCACTTACTTTCTGAAAGCAGTGTTTTAGTGTCACTCTGTGAAAAGCTGAAGAACTCAGGAGTAGGCTTCCTGGACTTTTTTAATGCCCAGTTATCTGGGTCCAGTGGCAGAGGCCACCACTTGATGAGGAAAGACAAGACTTGCTAAACTTGCTATGTATGAATAATGCATTCCTTACGGGGAAGCAAGCTATTCTGAAGTCCCTTTCAGAGCCTTAAACTAGACAGAAAAGACACAAGAACACCCAAAAACCCCAAATCAGAGATGGGCCACAAACCCAGAGACTAGGACCTACAATTGAGGAAAACAGGTGTTTTTTGTTTGTTTTTTAAGAATCTACTTTACAGAAGACCCTGTGTTAGGATGCTGCAAAAGATACCATGTCACCTTGGTCAAAAGGCACATACATTCTATTAAGAGGCAAACACGAAACTTAAAAACCAGATATAACAAGAATACTAAATAGTGTGAAAAAGAACTTCAAAGAAAAAGATTAGTTCACCTAATGTGCAGTTGTTAGTGGAAATGCAGAGAGCAAGGTCCTGCAAAACGCACATCATGCTAACAGTCATGGGAGGCCAGGGTAGGAGAGGAAGAAGGTAGTGGCAGAAAAGGAATGTGATTTGAAAGTGTCGCCCTAATAAATATTTTTTTAACAAGAAGTGGCTAGGCTAATAGTTTATTTTTGGCACAAACTTGTTAAATTTGAAGTTTTATAAGGCTAGGCAAGCAAAATAGGCAACAACACTGAGAAGAACCAATTAATATAACTTTTAACAGAGAGTGGAACTCATTTTAAGATATTTTAAGAAGTCAGTTTACTTTTGGTTTCATCTGTAGCAAGAAAAATAAAATGACTTTTGCATGGTCACTTCATGTCATCCTGTTTCTGCTAGCTTCATCACTAAACATATAAGCCAACCCTACCTCTCAGCCCCACTGTCCCTGGTTTCCTCAGGGGAGGCAGTTTGCTATTCCTCCTTATGTCTGTCCCGTCCGCAATTCCACACAATAAGCCAAGACTATGCTTTAAACAAACTCAGTGCTTACACTCCAATGTGTTTCCCTTCTATGCTCTTTGCCTCTCATCCCGGAGCCCCTGGACTCTGCAGAGAAGAATGCCCATGTGAGCGGTTCACCACCACCTCACTCCCTGTGGCTGGGGGGTAGGTGCCCAGGAATGGCGGCTCCCACCTGAGCGTTTTTCACGTGTGCTGGGACAAGAGAAGGTTGGCAACACATTTAGAACTCAGGAACTTCCTTGTTCTTTCTCCCTGGAGAGGAACTGCACTACAAAACACTGAAGGACATCTGTAACACACCAAAGTAATCCTTTGACAGAATCTCTTCAAATTCATATTCAAAATTTACAACATAGAAACCATATAAAACTTGCTTTTCAAGTACCAACCACATTCACCAAAGGTATAAAATACAATTACTTTATTATTTCTTACAATCAAATACTGCCAACTAGCATTACTTCCACTCATGCATCATTAAAAACAAAGGATTATTTCCTTGGTATTTTCAAATGATGCATTATACAATAAACAAAAAAAAGTTAGAACTTAAAATGCACCCTGATTAATTATGTAAACTGGTAATTAAAAAAAAAAAAAGCATAACTAATAATTTGGTTCTTCATAAAATGGAAATTTAAATATTTTTCCTGATAGTCTTGAGGTTATCATTATGTTATGAGTAGTGCAAAGTGTGGCACACACAGTTTCATCTAGAAAGGTGTCTTACACACCTTACTGAACAAATGAAATGTGCATAACAAAATGCATACAGTCAATGCATGATAGAAAGCATGTTTCAAATACAAGGCAGCTTCCCAGGCCACCAAATTATTTGTTTTGCATTATCATTTATGGCATTACAGATTAATTACACATAACATATTTTTACACATTTTAACCCTGAAGATAAGAAAAACAATTGTTGCTTGAAAAAATTATTCCAGGTAGCCATTTGGTTTGTATTAGGAGAAAGTGAACCTCCGAGAGTTTAGTGTCTGCCAAGTCTGGAATCATTAGCTTGAGTCAGTAAGTCAGATACGCGGCGTATTTCACAGTGACCACTTCCGGAGCCCTGCACTGCCTCCTCTCCGCCGGTGCCGGGTAATGAAGCATTTCCAGGATTACCCTTGTATGTGCTTTTTCCCTTTTTTGTTTCTTCTGGATTAACTGTATTATTTCCTCTTCTCACCTCTTTTATGGCCTTCCGTTTTAATTATTCATAAGTCCTTTCAGAATATCCTCAGAGAGTTCCATAAGGGGCAGTTCTGGAGAAGGAAAATCCAAGGGAGGAAGATTGGGTATTGGAATATCCTTGGCTTTCCCAGTACTTGCTGAAAATTTCTGCCAGGTTGAAGAGGCTGTATCAGTTTCTGACTGTGGCGGCAAGCTCCATAACTCTGATTTTTCTACAAAATCAGCATCTACATACAGCTCCTTTTCTACTGGGCCTTTTAGAAGTCTGGCCTTTTCAGCCTTGAGTTGTTTGTTTTCTTTCCTTAATTTCTCATTCTCAGCCATAAGGAATTCCACATGCCTCTTCAAATCTGCAATTTTGGTTGCCTGCTCTTCTATAATGGTTTTATCATCTTTCGGGGCTTTGCTTCCAATGCATGGTTCTGTTGGCTCACTCTTTTGCTGAAGTAAAAATAGCAGTGTGTCTGGATCCCTGTCAAAGACCCTCTGAATTTCAGGCAGGTGTTTCTCCGTGGAAGGGCTGTAGTTCTGAGAGAGGAGGAGACTATGGCCTTCTGCCTCCTCAGCAGAGGGCTTGTGTGACGCCTGAAGATGGGCAGCGGCATCCTTGTCTGTGCTCTGCTGTGCTTTCAACCTCTCCTCCCGCTTCGCCCGCTTCCACCTCTCCTGAATGAGGAGGAGCTGTTTCATGTGGCTATCCCTTTGCAGTTCCAGTGATAAATGAGCCTGTTACAAAGAAAGAAAGGCACCATTTAACATTCTGAGTCTCTTTGGTAATGTCCAGCAAATACTATTCCAAGACCCACCTTTCTGAACAGCCTGATAACACTTAAAATCTATATACTACGTTTGCGTTTTAATTAAACCTCAAAAGTTTTTCAAAATAGCTAGTTCTTTCTAGGTAAGTTTACACTTACGATACCTTATGAATATAAACAGAACACCATTCACTCAGCAAGTCAGAAGTACTATTCCTAATCAACATACTGAATCAAGACTTTTTTTTTTTAATCGTGCCTTAACTCTCTGCAATCCCATTGATACTCAGCTTAAAAACAGAAAACTTTCCTCTGTAGACATCAATTCTATAACTAGCTAAAGTCTTTTCACTGACAGGGTGCTCAGAACGTTCGGTGCACATCTATATTACATGGCTAACAGGAGCAGTTCTATAATCAAAGGGAAGTGTGTGTGATAGGAGCTCTTGGTTGTTTGAGGAGCTCTGTGTTTTTTCTTTGCCACTGATATCTCTTTCAGAAAGGATCTCCTTAATTCAATTAAACAAACCATTTACCAAACACCTCCTATGTATCTACTACTTATATAATCAGGAAATCATCTTTGTATAAAGGTAACGGTAATTTAAAAACCTAGGGAAGCCCTCCCCAAACACAGAAAACAATTTAAAGCCATTGGTGAAACAAAGTTAAAAAGTACCAGAACCAACTCAAGCAGGTGTGGCTCCCTGAGCAGAGCATCGTCCAGTGGACCAAAGGGTCCCAGGTTCAATTCCCGTCAAGGGCACATGCCTTGGTTTCAGGATCCCCCCAGCATGGGCCCTCATTAGGGCTCACGCAGGAGGCAATCAATCAATGTGCTTCTCTCACATTATTAATGTTTCTGTCTTTCCCTCCCTTTTCAACTCTCCCTAAAAATCAATGGGAAAATATCCTCCGGTGAAAAAACAAAACAAAACAAAACAAAACAAAAAAACACCAAAAGACTACGAGATGCCACCTCACACCTGTAACAACTATGGGAGAGGCTGTGGAGAAAAAGAAGCCCTCTTCCACTGCCGGTGGGAATGTAAGCTGGTACAGCCACTGTGGAAAACTGATGCTGGGTCCTCAAAACATTAAAAATAGGCCCATGACCCAGCAATCCCTCTTCTAGGCTTCTACCTGAAAACTAAAAAAAACAAAAACAAAAAAAACCTGGGCAGGGCAGGGTGGGGCCAGGGGAACAGCCACAAAACAAAACCCGGCTGGTTGCTCGGTGGTTAGAGCATCACCCTGCAGACCAAAGGGCCGTGTGTTTGATGACAGGTGTGATCCCTGGCTTCATTCAGGACGCAAGTAGGAGGCAACCAATCTATGTATCTCTCTCACGTCCATGTTTCTCTCCCTGTCCCCTCTCTCCCTTTCACTCTTTTTAAAAAACTCAATGGGAAAAAGATCCTTGAATAAGGATTTTTTAAAAATTACCAGAATTGCTTAGGAACTCGGGAAAAGGTTAAGTTCAGATTTAAATTATCTTTGAGAAGCAAGGAGGCCAACTGGTCCCATTGCCCAGGCCAGCTAACTTACTGTGATCTCCTGGTCAAATGAGCTGATGATCAGGAAAAGCCCTAAGAGGCATCTCGAGGACACATGTGGCAATCTGAGATCCATAAGTAACCACAAAAAGGACAGAAGTTTCTGAATACAATGTCTGATATGTCTGGTACATCAACACAGTTCATTTACTTTTCATTTCCTTTCTAAAATACTTTTCTTTTGCCTATTTTATATACGGGGTGTGGCAAAAGTAGGTTTACAGTTGAGAGTACACAAATTTATTCTTGCATTTTTATTAATGATTATATTATTTTTCAAACCTACTTTTGCCCCACAATGTATTTTGATTAGTGTTTTGAGAGGAGCCCAATGCTTGGTTTTATACACAAGTCAACTCTTCACAAGAAATCCTTCTTACCCTTGTAAATATTAAGAAAATGTCTCACCTGTTCAGATTGTGTTAGCTTCATGGCTTCAGAAAGATATGCTGGTTTAAAAAAAAAAAAGAGGCACATTAATATGAGTGTTGTCATTTTGTAATTAACAGGGCAAAGAAGAGTTTTAATACTCCTCATGCGACAAAGAGAAATGATCATGGAGGCAACTCTGCTATTTATTATATAGTTACCCTGTTCCTGAAAAGAAAAAAAGATGTCAAACAATTTGGCAAAACCAAACTTAACAACTGGAATGCCTCCCTTTGTAGAACATTAAAACTGTAACATGAGAGAAAAGGAAACCCAAGGACACTGAGCCGCCAAAGCACAAAGAATTCAACAGCAGCCACACTGTCATTTAAAGCAGTGGTCGCCAACGGGTGGTCCATGAGGTCCGAAAGGTTGGTGACCGCTGATTTAAAGTATTTCCCAGATTTTAAATATTGGCCTTTAAAAAGGTTATTTTAGCACTAGCTGGTTTGGCTCAGTGGATAGAATGTCAGCCTGCGGACTGAAGAGTCCTAAGTTCAATTCCAGTCAAGGGCACATGCCCGGGTTTTGAACCTGATCCCCAGTAGGGGAGGTGTAGGAAGCAGCTGATCAATGATTCTCTCATCACTGATGTTTCTAACTTTCTCTCCATCTCTGAAATCAATTAAAATATTTTATTTTTAAAAGGAAAACATTTTAATCTGATTGCATGGTCATGGATTTGCTCCAGAGTCACAAAAGGAACAAATGCTCCGACTCCACCAAGGCAGAAACTTAAGAAACATTTATCTTACAAAAACCTAACAAATCTGGTTAAAATGCTTGCTTCAATTACAACACTAGGCTAATATTTAAAGGAAATATTAAACAAATGATGGGGGAAAGAAACTAAGAAAATCTGAAGAATACATATTTTACTATTCTATCATGAATTCGGTACCAAAGTACAAATTGTACAACTTATCTGGGGCACACAGAACAAAATATTGCCTCTTAATGACAAAGACTAATCTACTCTGAGTCACCACAGTCTAATGGGAAGGTAGGTCAAGACTTGTTTTCTGGCAAAAGTGAACCCCTTCCTTTAAATTAGCCAATCACGAAAGACTGAGCATAAGCTCCAATCAAGAGTAAGGGACAGGTCAGCTGCATCCGGAATAAAAAGCGGGGCGGACTGCCTGCTCATGTGCCTGTGCTCCCAGACCATGTGTGTGTGCACCCTCCTGCAGGAGTAAAGATAGGTACCTTTCCAAAAAAAGACTTGTTTTCAACCAAATACACAGAAATACTCCACTCTGAGGTCTGCTCATCTCAAATGTACATTCTGAGTTCTAAGCATTGTCAATGGATATTATCAACTTCCCACTTAAGCTTTTGCTCTTTTTGCTATCTGGGAAAGAAATGAAATTCACTTATGGAATTGGACTGCAGAAAGCTAATAAAGAAGAATTCACCAATCCAGTTACAGCTGTTAATCAAGGGTTTAAAGCACATGTGTCAAACACAAGGCCCGCGGGCCAAATCCGTCCCGCCAGGCCTTGCAATGTGGACCGCACCGCGCTGTCATCACTGCACTCCGCTGCGTTTCCATCACAATGACAGTTTATGACTGTTCAGTAAACCAGTCGGCCTGTGATTTAGGCTGGATTTTAGATTTTGGCCCCTTCTCTGATTGAGTTCGACACCCCTAGTTTAAAGCAACAATTTTTCTAACAAGACCAAATCCTTGGGAGTTTGTAGCCAATTAACCTTTCCTTTTCTCATATTACATGGTAAAAAGTGAACAACTTCTCTCGACCTCCTGCCACATTTAGACAGCTCTGTTTCTTCCTGAGATTTGGTATCTCAGTTTATCTGTCCGATGAATGCTCATTTCATCTAATTTAGTTACTGTCCACCTCAAGAGTAGATCCTACCTTTTCCAAAAAGGAAAGTGAATCAAGTTACCACTTTATTTCAACACATTTACAAAACAAACACTATCAAAACTCTACATCATAGTATACAGGCTCTGAGTCCATAGCTATGCAACCTCAAGGTAAATTTTTAGTCTCAGAATCTCCTCCGATCTTTGACAGCTGAACAGAGTCCCCTTCTTTTACCCTAAGTTCTCTCAGTTCTGGCTTCCCTTCCTCTGAGTCTTTCTCAGGTGAACCTTTCCCTGTCATACCTTTAAAATGATTTCCAAACATTACATTCCCTCCTCTCAAAATGCATCTACATCCACACCTCCCAAAACACTGCTATTATAACCCCTGGATGTCAACTTACAAAACATTGAATTGAGCTCATTCCAACCATGTCAGTTTTAAACTAGTATTATTAGTTAGTACATTGACAACTCCACTCAGAAATGCAACACAAGGCTATTTTCTAATATATATTTTTATTGTTGATAGTATTACAGATGTCTCTTGTTTACCCTCCTTGACCTCCCTCCTCCCAGCCCCTACCAACCCACCTTGCCCACGCGTCTTCACCATCCTGTGCCTGTGTCCACGGGCTATGCATGTAAGTATGTAAGTTACCAAGTTTAAACTCCCAATCAAACTGGCTCATAAGTCTATCTCCATAATTAAAGTTAATGGGATCCAATAGGCTGCCTTTATCTTTCTACTCCTGAGAATGTCACAGAATTTAGATATAGACAAAGTGGGAAGAGGTGTTTAAAGCCCATTAGTTTTAAGTCTTCTAATAAAGACATGGATATAGGTTAGGGGGAAAAAAATACTTTTCTCCCTTTTATATATTCAGAACATCCTACTGTTCAACACCTAACATGTACTAGTCACTCCATCTTAATATGTTACAGATGTGTAACCATGACCACTCTGGGTTATTTTACTAAAATTGTCATTTCACTGTGGCATTCATCTACAACATGGTTTTCTTTTCCTTTTTTTTTTCTTTTTTTAATATATTTTATTGATTTTTCACAGAGAAGAAGAAAGAGGGATAGAGAGTTAGAAACATCGATGAGAGAGAAGCATCCATCAGCTGCCTCCTGCATACCCCCAACTGGGGATATGCCCACAACCAAGGTACATGCCCTTGACTGAAATCGAACCCGGGACCTTTCAGTCCACAGGCCGACGCTCTATCCACTAAGCCAAATGGGTTTCGGCGGTTTTCTTAAATCCTATATAATAAAGATGTAATATGCAAATGGTCGTTACGCCATGAAGCATAACAACAACTGCATAACGACTGCAGGAGGGTGGGGCAGCGAGCTACAATTGGGCAGCAGAGAGCTGCAGGAGAGGGCAGGGCAGCAAACTATGAGGGGAAAGCGGGACACACACACACACACACACACACACACACACACACACACGGATACAGAGGGAGCTACAGGAAGGCAGGGCAGCAGGCGGAGAGCTATCAGAGGGTAACAGCGAGCTACTGATGCACAGATTCGTGCGCAGGGCTACTACCGTGTTTCCCCAAAAATAAGACCCAGCACATAGAAAGATAAGACATTCCCTGAAAATAAGACCTAGCGCAACGTTGGGAGCAAAAATTAATATAAGAGACTGTCTTATTTTCGGGGAAACAGGGTAGTATAATACATTATCTTTTCATTATCTTTTCTTTATAGTGAATACAAATTTAACAATCTATTCAAAACAAAATCCTATGTAATAAAAGCCTAATATTCAAATTGTCCCCTTGACTGGGAATTAGACCAGGACTTTGACCAGGGGGCAGGGCCAGCTGGCAAACGGTGGGAGGCCCCCGTCAGTGGCAGGAAGCCGCTAGGGGCCCTACCCAGGCATGAATGTCACGCACTGGCCTCCAGTAGGGTTTATGGAAGACTTAGAGAGAGCCAGCTATCAAGTCTAAATGTTGTATAAAGCCCCCATAAAACTCACCATAAAAAGTCACAAAGATTTATGGGGTACATACTATGTGCTTAGCTATATAGCTGAAGTGGTAACTTTAGTAACAAAACTAGTTCTTTAAAAAAAAAAAATTACTTGAAATTTTCTCTGAAAATCACTGATTTATAGGCAAAAATTACTGACATAAGACTTATCCAAACCAGTCCACAATGTGGTCTGTTTTTCAGCAGTAAGGTAATACAGGAGAGGCAGACTCTACCAGGAAATAACATTGCTCTGATTATCGTGCTGGCCTAAAGGGAAAGGAGAGTAACTTCCTCTAGCAGACAGGTGATAGTTTGCTCTAAGAAAGGTAGCTATACTATTTTGGATGAAACATGAATAAAACAGTCCTTTCCCCAAAGCTTTTATGTATGCTCTTCAGCCAACAAAAACCTGTACAAAACACACCCCAAAGATCTATTTGAGTTCAACATATGCTAGGTTGTATGCCTGACTAGGATAAAATTAAGTGTTTGAATAAGAAGCCAGTTATACTATAAATTTTACACCTAAATCACCAGCACAATGTTACAAGCATGAATATACATGAATATATGGATGAAATATTCAGAAGAGAAGCAAAAGAAAAATCAGGAAAGAGTTTGATGCATCTTGCATTATCAAGATCTTAGAAACAGAAACTCAGTGCAAATAAATTGGTTGGAGTCAAACTAATTATTATTGTACTTTTAGAACCCAAATTGGCTAGCTTTAAAACTCAGACTCCTTTTCTATAATATAACCAAGATATACTGGCAGACATCTGACTTTAGGGATCTTTGGGCTCAGAAAGCCATGTCCTAAAATCATTTACCAATATGGAACGTATAACTTTCATGGTTTAGAAAGAAGTCTGGCTTGACTGGCATGGCTCAGTGGTTGAGCGTCAACCTATGAACTGGGAGGTCACGGTTTGATTCCCAATCAGGGAACATGCCTGGGTTGCGGGTTTGATCCCCAGCAGGGGGTGTGTAGGAGGCAACCGATCAGTGATTCTCTCTCATCATTGATGTTCCTCTCTGAAATCAATAAAGAAATATTTTTTAAAAAGAAAGAAAAGTCTGGGTTGGAAGGAACTTGGAAATCCAACACACTAAAAATTAATGCAAGCAGCCTTAGCTGGTTTGGCTCAATGGATAAAGCATTGGCCTGTGGACCAAAAGTTCCCAGGTTTAATTCCAGTCAAGGGCACATACCTGTGTTGTGGGCTTGATCCCCTGTAGTGGACTTGCAGCAAGCAGCCGATCAATGATTCTCTCATTACTGATGTTTCAATCTCTCTCTCCCTCTCCCTTCCTCTCCAAAATAATAAAAATATATTTTAAAAAATGCAAGCTGATGTTCAGGGGGTCTAAGGGTCACAGCACATCATTATTATTTTCATTCCAAATAAAGTGTTGAGAAATACTGGAGGAAATAACTGTCCTACAGTTTTAGACTCAGTACTTCTTAAAGAGGATACTCACCTGTAGCCTTTTTGTGACAAGAAATAGCCTCCTCGTATTTCCCCGCAGCTAATAAACGATCTGCTCGTCTGCTCTGTTGATGAGCCTAGAAGACAAACATTTCTAATTGCTTCTCTTCTATAATTCATTTTCCCCTTTCAACCTTAAAGTTACTATTTATGTTTTTAAAAATATAAAATGTATACATCGGACAGTTGAGTAATTACAATACCTATATTTAATATTATGGTGGAAATTTTTCTAGGTACAAGTCACCAAAGCAACAAAGACAAATGCAACAGTTCTGAAAACAAGTGACTAAAGTGCCCCCAAATGTAAAGATAAATGCATTAAGTGAGTAGTCACTGGGCTCTTTACCTCTCTGTTACATTTTAAAATTTACCACAACTTCGTAAATGTGTTTCCTTCTCTTTAAGAGATCCAACAGATCCAGATGGGTTATATCTCACATAAAGTTAAACAGTTAGCGGGTAAAGAGAAAGACAAATAATCAACAAGTCTTAAAGCTACGTAATGTTTCCTCACTAAAAAACTCACAGATGATTTAGCAAAACTTATTTTAAAAAAGTGAAAAGCATTGTACCATGTTCATAGCAGCATTGTTCACAATAGTCAATAGGTGGAAGCGACCCAAATGTCCACCAATAGATGAATGAATAAACCGTGGTATATACATACAAGGGAATATTATTCAGCCTTAAAAGGGAAATAAATTGCCTAGTCAGTGTTACTAAGTGTTTGAGAGTTGACCTATGAATCAAGAGGTCACAATTCAATTCCTGGTCAGGATTCATGCCTGGGTTGCAGGCTCGATTTCCCTTTGTGGGTCATGCAGGAGGCAGCCAATCAATGATTTTTCTCTTATCATTGATTTTTCTCTCTCCATCTTCATCTCTGAAATCAATAAAAATCTATAATAATAAAAGCATAATATGCAAATTAACTGACGTGCCATCTGGAAGACCTTCCACACGACTTTCTGGACAAAGCCAAGGCTGCAAAGGCCCACTCTTGCATGAATTTCATGCATCGGGCCCTCTCGTGTGTGTGTGTGTGTGTGTGTGTGTGTGTGTGTGTGTGAGTGTGAGAGTGTGTGAGAGTGTGTGTGTGTGTTTGTGTTTATTTTATGTTTTAAAGGAAACTGACACATGCTATAGCATGAATAAGCTCTGAAGATATTAAGTTAATGAAATATAAAATAAGTTACAAAAAGAAAAAACTGTATGATCCCACTTATATGAAATATCTAAAGGATTCAAACTCATAGAAATAGAAAGAATGGTGGCTGCCAAGGGCTGAGGAGAGAGAAAAGTGAGGAGTTGTTTAATAGGATTAAACTTTGCAAGATGAAAAGTTCTGAAGATGTTTCACAACAGTTTAAATATACTTAATGCTACTAGACTGGACACTTAATAAAGATGATAAATTTTATGTTATGGGTACTTTACCTCAATTTACTTTTTAACAAAGTAAAATCTGGCCCAACTGGCATGATTCAGTGTTTGAGCACATGTTATTTGTCTTTCTCTGACTGATTCCACAGAATAATGCCCTCGTGTTGCAAATGGCAAGATTTTTCTTGTGTGGCTACCCATTTTTTTCTTTAGATTGTTTGCTGTGTGTATTTTTGCTATTGAGCTCTATGAGTATTTTGGGTATTAACCTTTTATCAGATACATGATTTGCAAATATTTTCTCCCAATTCGGTAGGTTTTCTTTTCATTTGATAATTTCCTTTGCTGTACAGCTTTTTAGTTTGATGCAATCCCACAGGATATTTTCTTAATATCTTTGTGAGGATTTTTTTGTACTTTCTTCTTTCTTTTTGGTTAATCCTCATTTGAGGGTATTTTTCTCCACTGATTCTTTTAAATATATATATATTTTTATTGATTTCATAAAAATAAAGACAACAATGATGAGAGGATCATTCATTGATCGGCTGTCTCCTGACACCCTACCCTGAGGATCAAGCCCACAACCCAGGCATGTGCCCTAACTGGAAATCAAATCCATGACTGCCTGGTTGAGGTTGACACAATCACTGAGTCACACTGGCAAGGCTCCAATGATTTTTAGAAAGAAGGGAAGGGGAGAAAGAGGAGGGGAAGGAGAAACATCAATGTGAGAGAGAGACATCGATTTTTTTTTTCATTTCTTGATTAAGGTATCACATATTTGTCCTCAACCCCAGATTCCAATCTCCTCCCTCCCCACTCATGGCTCCACCCCATATTGTCCTTGACCACTGGTTAGGCTCATATGTATGCACACAAGTCCTTTGGTTGATCTCTCCCTTTTATCCCCACTCTCCCTTTGAGGTCCAACAGTCTGACCTAGGGGTGTCGAACTCAATCAGAGAAGGGGCCAAAATCTAAAATCCAGCCTAAATCGCGGGCCGAATGGTTTACTGAACAGTCATAAACTGTCATTGTGATGGAAACGCAGCGGAGTGCAGTGATGACAGCGCGGTGCGGGCCACATTGCAAGGCCTGGTGGGACGGATTTGGCCCGCAGGCCTCGTGTTTGACACATGTGGGACTCTGACCCATGGCTCCTTATCTCTGGATCTGTTCTTGTTCATCAGTCTAGGTTGTTCACCATTTCCCCTAAATGAGATCATGTCCTACTGGAAATATACTTATAAGAATCAAAAATGAAACAAGTAATAATGGTTTTGCTGAGACTGATCGATTGGTTGCCTCCCCACACACGCTGACCAGGGCCTGGGATCTAGCCTGCATCCAAGATATGTGCCCTTGACTGGAAATGAACCTGAGATCCTTCAGTCCTCAGGTCAACCAACTGAACCAAACCAGCTAAGGCATGTACTTATTTTCTCTGCTTCTCTATCAACAGTTGTGATAAACAGCTTCTGATATGGCTCCCAAAGTCCCTGCCCTCCTAGTATTCACACCCTTTGTCATTACCCTTCCTCAAATGCAGGCTAGACCTAGAAAATATGGCAATTTAATTTAAGCAAATGTGAAGTGGGTTGCTATCACCTCCAACTGACAAAAATCCTACCTACAACTAAGTGACAGCCCTCACCAAAAAGTACATTCTACTTCTATATGCTACTTCCTTTAAAAATACAGGTTCTATATTATCTTCTTTCCCAAAGAAAACAGTATTTACCTTATTTTATTTTTCATATATTTCTGTGTCCCTAGGGGAAAGCTGTATGTAAAAATTGAAAAGAGAAAGAACACCAAAAAAGGTAATAGAGGAAAATCTAATATACTCCTGAACCTTTTAGTAGGTAGGGTCTTCAGAGAAAGAGAAATTTCATTTCCCCCCCCTTTCTTAACCAATTCACTGAGTCTCCCACTGGCAAGCAGTAGCTCCTAAAAGTCAAGTATTGAGTTGGATGCCAAAGTAAAATAATATAATTATACTTAAGCCGGGACCGGTTTGGCTCAATGGATAAGAGCGTCGGCTTGGGGACTGAAGGGTCCCAGGTTCGATTCCGGTCAAGGGCATGTACCTTGGTTGCGGGCATATCCCCAGTAAGGGGTGTGCAAGAGGCAGCTGATCGATGACTCTCTCTCATCGATGTTTCTAACTCTCTATCTCTCTCCCTTCCTCTCTGTACAAAAATCAATAAAATATATTTTAAAAAAAATATATATATATAATTATACTTAAGATAACTGCTCAAGTGTTAGAATAAGTCCAGGAACACCTGTTTTTTATTTTAAGTGTAAGGATTAATTTTTCCCAAACACAGCTCTGCTGCATCTTTTTTTCTTAAATTTCCAGTTATTTATTAAAAAAAAAAAAATATATATATATATATATATATATATATATATATATATGTTTTTTTTTTGTTTTTTTTTTAAACAAAGAGGAAGGGAGAGGGAGAATTAGAAGATTCAATCAGCTGCCTCCTACACACCCACCTTGGGGGATGTGTCCACAACCAAGGAACATGCCCTTGACAAGAATCAAACCTGGGACCCTTCAGTTCCCAGGCCAACACTCTATCCACTGAGCCTAGCTTTTTTTCATAACCATCACCATCTGCTGTGAAGACAAATTACAGGATACAACCCGCTAGTGAGTTGTGAAATCAATTTAGTGGGTCACAACAGCATTTTCTTAACTCCAATAGTAAATATTACTGTATATCAAATATAGCACCATGCGTACACATGTATGTGTATATGCACATACATGGCATCATACAGTTTCAATTTTTTTGTTGTTTTGGGTGACATTTATGAGGATCCCTGTGTTTTACACAATTCTGGGAGATACATTCATAAGGTAGCATAGCAACTCTGAAGTAACATGCACATATGTGTGTACTAGTAATTATGAAAATTTTCTGTGAATCACAGTCAAAACAAATGGGGGGGAAAATGGGCAAGCACTGATCTAAGAGAAAGTTCAGTATTTTACTTAGAAACTTGCTTTCAAATCCCATTGTTATCCCTTACTCTGCACTTATTTTTAAACAGTAGTGTGGGTTGGGGGTGGGCCAGAAAGGGTCAATTGGGGGTGGGGGGGGTTTGAGAGAATGGGATATGTAATACTTTTAAGAATAAAGACTTAATTAAAAATAAACAGTAGTGTGTATTTTAAGACTAAAAAGTTTTTAATTTGATTTATTTTTAGAGGGTGAGGAGAGAGAGAGAGAGAGGAAGTGAAGAAGGGAGAAGGGAGGGAGAGACAGAGAGAAACATTGATTTATTCTATTTATGCATTCATCAGCTGATTTTTTTTAAAAAATATGTTTTTATTCAGAGGGGATAGGATGAGAGAGAAACAATGAGAATCATTGATTGGCTGCCTCCTACACACCCCAAACTGGGAATCAAGCCTGCAGCTGGGTATGTGCCCTGATTGGAAATTGAACCATGACCTCCTGGTTCATAGGTCAATGTTCAACCACTGAGCCATGCAGGCTGGGCTGATTTTTTTGTTTGTTTGTTTCTCATATATGCCCTGACTGGGAATTGAACCCGAAATCTTTGATATATTAAGATAATACTTTAGCCGGGACCGGTTTGGCTCAGTGGATAGAGCGTCGGCCTGCGGACTGAAAGGTCTCGGGTTCGATTCCAGGCAAGGGCATGTATCTTGGTTGCGGGCACATCCCCAGTGGGGGGTGTGCAAGAGGCAGCTGATCGATGATTCTCTCTCATCGATGTTTCTAACTCTCTATCCCTCTCTCTTCCTCTCTGTGAAAAATCAATAAAAAATATTTTTTAAAAAAGGACAAGACTTTAACCAACATAACTACTTGGCCAGGGCCCTTACTCTGCATTTCAATGTCTTCATCCATACTAGTAAAATGGGGAATATCTTACATAGTACTAAAAAACAAAATAAATAACAAAGTGTCTGATATCAACCCTAGCCCTTAGTAACTAGGGTAAGTCCTTCCACTCTCTCTAAAAAAAAAAAATGAAAGAGGTGAGGATTAACAACTAAAAACTTATTGCCAATATAATTAACATGGAATAATTACAAAGATTCTAGGTATGTACAAGGCCATTCTTTGGAATCTTATCTGATTCCTTTTCTTAGATGAGAAAAGCTAACCACTCTAGAGGGAAGCTAAGTTACTCAACATTCTCAGCACTCTTGAGGCCAAAGACACAGAATACAATTGTGTCCTTTGAGTGTGCCGAGTAGGTAAGCAAAGCATGAGCAACAGTCATGTATAAATTAAGGTCTGACATCACTTCCTACATAGGCAGCAAACAAACCAAAAACTACAAACTATCTGACATTTTTAAGAAATTAAGTAATTACTTAGACCAGTGACACAAATACATTATAGATCTCTCTCTCTTTTTTTTTTTGGTTTAAAAATTCAAGATGCAAAAATTTCTAATACTTGACTACAAAGTTACTGAATTGTGCTAGCCTGCTTAACAAGACTGGGTTTAAAAATTCTCGCCCTGGCTGGTTTGGCTCAGTGGATAGAGCTTCGGCCTGTTGGACTGGAGGGTCCTGGGTTCGATTCCAGTCAGGGGCATATGCCCGGGTTGTGGGCTTGATCCCCAGTTGGGGGTGTGCAGGAGGCAGCTGATCAAAGATTCTTTCTCATCATTGATGTTTCTATATCTCTCTCCCTCTCCCTTTCTCTCTGAAATCAATAAAAAAAAAAAACATTTAAATTTTTTTTTTTAACTTCTCCATAAAAAGATAATACTATTAGCACCACTAAACTAAACTTTCCTAAACTGGTGATTCTCCTGCTCCATCTACAACTCTCACCCAAGTCCAGTCTTCTGGTAAACTACCACAGACTAGTGGGAGTTTGGCAGGGGTTATGCTGGAGCCTGCAGCCAAATAAAGTAAAGCTAACTGGAACTGAGCCAATGGTCATTTTGCAAGGACATGAACTTTGGAGCACTTTGTAAACTGCTGGTTATTTCTAATAATATTCCTGTTACGTTTAAATACTGAACCATCCATTATATTTCACTGCAAACTATATGTCACCTTAAAAACAAGGGCAATACATTTTCCCATTGTGTGTTTAAAAAAAAAACAACCAAAAAAACCACTCACAAATCTAGTCAAATTGTTTTTATGTGTAAACAACTCTTACCAATGGGGGAAGGGATGGACTTAATAAAACTGGGAGGTGCTTCTCAGAGGAGCTAACCTGGCACCAGTCATTTGGAAACCATTGCTTTAGTTCCAGCCCTAGAATTTTAAACTTTTCAAGTTCAACAAGCCCAAATCTTTTATTTTACAAGGAAGATTTAAATTATGGGTTTACATTCTGGTGACTATAATTGCTAACTCTTACACAGTCCTATGCACCACATACTGTTCTGCCCTTTACACCTACCGTGTTTCCCCAAAAATAAGACATCCTCAAAAATAAGACCTACTTACAGGTTTCCTTCTGAGTGAAATATAAGGCATCCCCCCGAAAATAAGGCCCCCCTAGGCTAAACATGAAATATTTGGTCCACTGATTCTGAAAGAAATAGAGTCAGAAGAAATTCACCAGGAAATTCAGGAATTGGATTGTTATGATGATGTTCCAGAAGATGATGACATGATTGTCACTGAATAAAGGAGTAAATTCTTGATACTGTAGGATTCAGTTTGTCTGGTTTGTGCTGACAACTACTGAACTACCGTACAGTATACAGGTAATAAATTTCCTTTATTTTCATTTAACAATAAATGTGGACCGTATTCTTCTTCATGGAAAAATAAGACATCCCCTGAAAATAAGACCTAGCGCATCTTTGGGAGCAAAAATTAATATAAGACACTGTCTTATTTTTGGGGAAACAGGGTAGTTACTTTAACCCTCGGTGAGGTCAACTAATCCGCCCTCTTGAGTGCCAATGCCAGAATTCAAATCCAAGCAGTCCAGCTCCAGAACCCATATTCTTAAAACCACCAGGTCCTGCCGCTTCTCCATGGAGGGGTTTTTAAATCCAGCCCAGGGCTCTTCCACGACTCCAGGCTGCAGGGTCCCAACGTGAGAAACTAATTCTCCCTATGCTCACCACTGCAACTCAATCTCCCACCTGTGACTCTTAAAAAAAGTCCCTTCTGTCTCTCTACAACCTTCAAGTACCCAAAACAGGCACTCTCTCTGGGAAACCAGAGGATGTAGTGGCCAGTCAGAAAAGAACAGGTTTCTCGCTGTTGCTGAAACCTCAACACCTGAGAAGCCTCAAAACGTAAGTCCTTTTTCTGAGAAAGGCAAACATGGGTGTATTGTCAGGATGCCTAAAGTCAGTGTTTCCCAAACTTCTCTCATGATGAGAATCACCTGGCGGAGCTGTTAAAATACAGATTCCTGAATCCCAACTAAGAAGTGCTAAAGTAGAATTTTTGGGAACCTAAAATTGTATACTTAACTATACACTTTTACCTATATGTTCCCAAAAATCCCCCCCAAAAATGCTAGAGCACTAGTTAAGTATACAATTTTACCTATAGGTTCCCCAATATTCTAGTTTAGCACTTCTTAGTTGGGAATCAGGAATCTGTAGTTTAACAGCTCCACCAGGTGATTCTCATCATGACAGAAGTTTGGGAAACACTGAAGTGAGGAACCTGAGCTAACAAGGACGACCCTGTGTGTGTGTTGCTGCTTTTCCCCTCCAGCTGTCTCCAACTCACTCGGGAAGGGAGCCTTTCAGCTTATGCATCTGGATACGGATGAGAAATGGAATAAGGGGGATAGACGGGGTAAGAAGAGGGATTCGCATTGCTCCCTCTCTCCAAAGCGGAGGAGAGGCTCGGACTTCAGAGTCTGCGAATGAAGAAGTTCGTCCAGGCTCACAGCCCACTGCCGCCCCGACCTCCGGCTTCGGAGCCTCTCGGGGCTGCAGGGCGGTGTTTACGTGGCGCTCGGAGGCATCGGGCTCCTCAGGCCTCACGAGGGGGCAGCCCCGGCGGGCGGGCGGGCGGGCGCCCCCCGGCTCAGGCCCCGCGGCAGGGGGCGCCCGGAGGCGGCGGGGACGGGACGCGGGAGTTTGCCGGGGATCCCTGAGGGGGTCCACGTCCGGGGGACGGCTCGCCCCGGAGCCGCCGTGGGCCACGCCCGCCGGCGCCCCCCAGCCTCCAGCGCCACCCCCGCCAAACCCCGCGACCCGTGCACCCAGGGTCGGCGGCGGCCCCGAGCGGCCCCGTGAGGTACAGGAGCCGAGGGCGGACGCGACCCTCGGAGAGCCACTCACCAGGTTGAGGGGTCCTTCCATCACTTCCATAGACCCCGGCGGAAGAGGCGGCCTGAGGGAGCGGAGCGACGACGCCGAAGCACATGGAGGAGCGCAGCCGGGGAGCGTGGGGCGGCGAGCGGGACCGCGGCTCCTCTCCGCGCCCCGGGAGCCAGCCGAGGGGAGCAGAGGGACCAACCACCGCGCCACTTCCTCCTCCGGCGCCGCGGGCCCGCCCCCTGCGCCGGGGCCACGCACGCGTCGTGACGTCACATGCGGTGGTTCAAGGTGGGAGTGAGGGCGGCCGGTGGGCGGGGTTCAGGGTAGGCGGGTCGCGGGCTGACGTGCACTCTCTCGCGTTCTGTCTTTCCTCTCGCGAGATGCTTATCTTCAGCTTTTTTGCTGTCTCTTCTGCAGGCACATGGGTGTTGTTGGGGAGTTGAGTGGCTGTTGGCTTCTCCCAGTTTCCTTCCAGCCTGACTTTTCCCAAGTTCACTCTAATTGGACTTATTTTTACTTTTTGTTTGTTTTTGTTTTTATTTTTTCTATCTTGCTTGGGCTTATTTATAAGTCAGATTTGAGCAATGCTAAACCATGTGCTGGACTAGATCACCCCTTTTCCCAGAGACAAACATGAATGAATCAGTGCTCTGCCCTCAAGTTGCTGACAAGCTAATAAAAGAAATAATATGGGTCACAAATAGCCGAATATAATACTTGACTTAACAATTATGCGCCAAACCACTGTGCTGGGTTCTGTAAAAAAAATTCACTGGCAATCAATATAACAAAAGCCTAATATGTTAAGTGTTCAGTCATCCATTCAACCAATCAAAGCATAATGTGCGAATGTATGCTAAGACTGCTCAACCACTAGGTATGACATGCACTGACCACCAGGGGCAGACACTTGATGCAGGAGCTGCCTCTTGGTGGTCAGTGTGCTCTCACAGGGGGAGTGCTGCTCAGCCAGAAGCTGGGCTCATGACTGGTGAGTGCAGAGGTGATGGCAGAAGCCTTTCCTGCCTCCATAGCAGTCAGGCATCGCATGAGGGTTCCCAGACTGGGAGAGCGTGCAGGCCAGGCTGAGGGGTTGCCCACACATGCCCCTTGAGTGCACAAATTTTGTGCACCAGACCTTTAGTAAAAAATAATTGTGATTTATGCTGGAAGGAAACAGAGAGATGTGATAGAGGTACCGTGTGTTACATAGCTTCAAGGAAATGAATTTTTTTTTTTTTCAAAAGCTGTGTGAGCTTGGAAGAGAACCCCTCTCTTTAGGTAACACCCCAACCCTGGCCTATGCCTTGATTGCAGCCTTTTGAGCGCCTGAGCAGAAGACCCATCAAAAGCCAGACTCTTGACTCATGTAACTTGTAAGGTAATAAATATGTGTTGCTTTTAAGTCATTACACTTGTGATTCTTTGGTATGTGGCCAAGAAAATTATTGCCAATCCTTTCGGGGTAAAATCCGGAGGCAGAATTTTCTTGATAAAACTATAACCAGAAGTAGTGAATTCATGTCACTACTAATCAATCCACAGTAATTGTGTTTAATAACTCTAAGGCAAACTTCAATGACAATTAGACAAAAAGGAGAGTATGGTATATTTGTTAACGTAAAAACATTCAACCTGTGAAGAATTTTTCTGAGTTTATTTGAACCAAATGGTCTACAATTACCGGGAAGCAAAAATCTCAACAGATTGAGATTTTATACATTGCAATCAAAGGAAGAGACATAGGTGGGTTACACAAAATCCATTGGTGATAGATTAGAGAAGCAGAAGAAAGCAAAGGGAGGAGAGAACCTCTGGTACTGGATAAAGAATAAAATGATAGACACATACTTCTTTCACTTAAATGTGTACATGATAGCTAACAGTCAACAATTAACATTATAACAATAACAATGAAGGATTTTGTGTAATCTGTCCTGGCACCCAGCACATTAGTTTGTGCCCTGAGGGGTCCAAAAAAAGGGAAGTTACAAGTTACCCTAAACATTTCAATGGTATGTTATCATAGATGCAAAAAGACAATAAGCTCAGTTAAGGTAAAGGTTGACCTTGTCAGAGAAGATACAGACCATAACTGCTTTTAGTTAAAGTCTATTTAATGCCATCCTTTATAAGGTGTCAAGTTAGCATGTGGCCCCTTTCGTCCACATATTCAAGCACACACCAATATTTGAGATCAATTTCACCCAGATCAGCAAAAGAGAAGGCATGATAGGTGTACACAACCATGTCCAATGTACACAAACATGACATCTGCCAACCCTCTTCTCTGCCACTTGCCTGTCAAGCTGTTGGTCTGACCAGCTCCAGGCTATGAAGAGCATGCATGCTGTGCATAGCCAGGTCATCAAAGGAAGAGGTTACAAGCATACAAAGATTTTAGGCCTATTTTGGATGCTTTCCTTGAAGTTTAGGAAACAGCAGAAAGACCCAAAGCTTGCTGCTGGCTATTTTTTCTACTTGTAGGTGTGTATCTTTTCAGACACATGGAAGACTTCTTTACCTATTGGAGAAGCACATTTATCTTCTGAGGCCATCAATGGAGGGTTACAGAAATCACCAGGCCGTCCCAGCTGAGGGCACAGTGGACATTCCTATTACTGTATCAGAGATGAGAAATGTCCAGTTAATGCTAAATCTCCACTGTGACTCAGCAAGATAGACCCAGAGAACTCTAAGAAAACATCTAAAAGCTGGTCCTGGTATTCTCTGAAATATGGAAAATGCATCCCATGTGAAAGAATCCATACCTAAATGGGCCACCACTGAGGGACTTCCCACATTGAAGAAGTTCCTGGCATGCCATGAGGTTCAATTCATACATTCCGTGGTCAACAAACTGCAGCTCGAGAGCCACATGCGGCTCTTCAGCCCCTTGAGTGTGACTCTTCCACAAAATACCATGGCCTGGACAAGTCTCTTTTGAAGAAGTGGCATTATAAGAAGTTTAAGTTTAAAAATTAGGCTCTCAAAAGAAATTTCAATTGTATTGTTGATATTTGGCTCTGTTGACTGAGTTTGCCGACCATTGCCCTAGCCCAGTATCTTCCCTTACAAAGGTCAATCTTTATCTTAACTGAATCTATTGTCTTTTTGCATCTACAATAATTCATCATTGGAATGTCAAAGTAATTTCCGTTTTTTCGGACCCCTCAAAGCACAAATATAGCTCTGCAGATACCACAAATCCCCTCATTGTTATTAATTGTTTTTTTTAAATATATTTTTATTGATTTTTTACAGAGAGGAAGGGAGAGAGAGAGAGAGCTAGAAACGTCGATGAGAGAGAAACATCGACCAGCTGCCTCCTGCACACCCCCTAACGGGGAAGTGCCTGCAACCAACGTACATGCCCCTGACTGGAATCGAACCTGGGACCTTTCAGTCCGCAGACCGACGCTCTACCACAGAGCCAAACCGGTTTTGGCTATTGAGTTAATTGTTGACTGTTAACTAGCCTGCACCCACCTAAGTAAAATAAGTATGTGTCTATCATTTTACTTTTTATCCAATCCCTGCTTTGCTTTCTCCTGCCTCCCTAATCTGTCACCAGTGGATTTCATGTAACCCACTTAGTCTCCTCTTCTTTTTTCTTTATGTTTTTATTGATTTCAGAGAGGAGGGAGAAGGAAAGAAATAGAAACATCAATGGTGAGAGAAAATCATTGATTGGCTGCCTCTGCATGTCCCGTACTGGGGATGGAGCCTGCAACCCAGGCATTTGCCCCGACTGAGAATTGAATGGTGACCTCTTGGTTCATAGCTAGAAGTTCAACCATTGAGCCACATGAAGGTATTTGCCCAAGGATATTTTTCCATTGAATTTTAGAGGAGGGTAGAAGGAAGAGAGAGAGAGAGAGAGAGAGAGAGAGAGAGAGAGAGAGAGAGAGAGAGAGAGAGAGAGAGAGAGGACAGAGAGAAACAGAGAAACATTGATGTAAGAAAGACATCAATTGGTTGTCTGTCTCACACATGTGCCCCAACCAGGGTGGGGGATCAAGCTTGAAACTGAGGTACATGCCCTTGACCCTTGACCAGAATCCAACTTGGGGCCCTTCAGTCCTCTGGCCAATGCTCTATCCACTGAACCAAACCGGCTAGGGCAGGTCTCCTCTTTTGATTATAAGGTATAAAACAATATACAAAACTGCCATTCTCCAGAACATTATCTCAATCTGTTGAGATTCTTCCTCCTGGTAATTGTCAACACTTTGGCTCAAATAAACTCACAAAAATTCTTTACAGGTTTGAATGTTTCTTATGTTAACAGAGAGAAAAATTATTCCACTTATTTATGCATTCATTGGTTGATTCTTTTTAAAAATATATATATTTTATTGATTTCTTACAGAGAGGAAGAGAGAGGGACAGAATTAGAAACATCAATGAGAGAGAATCATGGTTCAGCTGCCTCTTGCACACCCCCTACTGGGGATGTGCCCACAACCAAGGTACATGCCCTTGACCAGAATCAAACCTGGGACCTTTCAGTCTGCAGGCAGACGCTCTATCCACTGAGCCAAACCAGTTTCGGCTGGTTGATTCTTGTATGTGCCCTGTCCCTGAATCGAACCCTCAACCTTGGCATGTCAGGACAATGCTCTAACTAACTTAACTACCCAGCCAGGATTCCTTAGGAAACCTTTAACCAATGTCTTTTACTATGATTCCCTTTTCATGTATGCACAGAGTGATATAGGACAAAAATGTGACTAAGTCTGAATAGCCAACCTCTTTCATTGTATGTAAGATAAAAATGTAAGGGACAGCTCCACCCGGTTTCACTCAGTGGATAGAGTGTCAGCCTGCGGACTGAAGGGTCCCGAGTTCAATTCTAGCCAAGGGCACATGCCTGGGGTTTCAGGCTCGAACCCCAGTAGGGGACATGCAGGAGGCATCCGATCAATGATTCTCCGTCATCAGAGGTGTTTCTCTTTCTTTATTCCTTTCCCTTCCTCTCTGAAATCAATAAAAAAATATTTTAAAAAACATAAGGGACAAAAACAATGGATTAACTACAGGGAAAACCACCCATTAGCGTGCAAGCAGATGACCCTCTTTCCTGTACTTAATAATATGAGGATTTATCTTCTGATGATAGCATTTCTTGATGTTGTTGCAAAACAAAATTCAGCCAAGTAAATTTGGCTTTATTAAGTGATTTATGAATCAGGCAGCATCCCATCTAGCAAACAGAAGGGTACTCTTAGGGATTGTACAAA